GAGCAAGCGGGCGCCTTTCCAAAAGGGCACGCCTCCTCCTCCTCCTCCTCCTCCTCCTGCTCCTCCTCCTCCTCCTGGTCCTCCTCCTCCTCCTGTCCTCCTCCTCCTCCTCCTCCTCCTCTCCCTCCTCCTCCTCCTCCCCCTCCTCCTCCTCCTCCTCCTCCTCCTCCTCCCCCTCCCCTCCTCCCCCCTCCCCCCCCCCTCCTCCCCCTTCCTCTGCTCGACGCGGCTGACGTTGCGGACCTGCACAGGCGGGTTCGCCCGTCGGCCCCGCCCAGAAGGTTTCTTGGTACCGAGCCAGGGGTCCACCGCCCTCTCCTCCCTCGAGCCTCGGTGCTCCGTCCTCCGTCCTCCCTCCTCCTCCTCCTCCTCCTCCTCCTCCTCCTCCTCCTCCTCCTCCTCCTCCTCCTCCTCCTCCTCCCCCTCTCCTCCTCCCTCCTCCTCCCTCCTCCCTCCTCCCTCCTCCTCCCTCCTCCTCCTCCTCCTCCTCCTCCTCCTCCTCCTCCTCCTCCTCCTCCTCCTCCTCCTCCTCCTCCTCCTCCTCTCCTCATCCTCCTCCTCCTCTTGATCCTGCGTCCTCCCGCTTCCCTCCCTCGTCCTCCCTCCTGGCCTCATTCGGGAACGAGCGCCAGTGGCAAACATACCCGCTAGTTCTAGACGGTGTATGCGTGTGTATGTGTGTGTGTGGTCATACCCCCCCTCGCCTCCTTCACGGGTATCCGATTTTTCCCCTCCCCGCTTTGCACAAGAGAAGGGGGGAGGGTCCAGGAAAGGTCCGACCAGACACATTGTTGTTGGTGCCGTATTTTCCGGCGGAATGCAGATCGGGCAGTGACTTGGATCACAATGTAACACATGTTGGGGTCGGTGTGTCGGTGTGTCAGTGTGTGTGTGTGCGTGCCATATTTTTCGGTTGGCGAGAAGTACAAGTCACGAAACACACAACGGTCCCGAGGCAAAGCAGACGCTCCGCACTGCGTGGCAGCGCACGGGTTACGTAAGAGGTGGGCATGCGCAGGAACGGGCTGGGGTCTGGCAGCCTGGCCCCCGAGCCGCCGTGCCGCTATACCGTGCTACCGGGCTGCGCCCAGCTGGCATGCCGCGCTTTGCATCGGCCTGTCACACGGGTACCCTGCGGGCCACCCGCAGGCCGAACTGGCTCGAGGGACACGCCCCAGGGCTGGAGTTCGTCGTTCTCCCTGGTGGGCGTTGGCGAGATCTGGGCGAAGGTGCAACCAAGCAGTTCTCGCTTGTCATTTCGTCTTGTGGTTCTTTCCTGAACGCGCTCATCGGCATCCGTCCCAGGGGGTGGGGTGTGGGGATATTTTATTTGGATGCTGTGTGTTCGCCATAGCACCGTGTCTCTTACGTGTTCCAGTATTCAGCAGCGTTTTCAATGTTGTCCAGCTCAGGTGCACGTCTACCCTCGGGTCCGCACCTTGGGCAATTTTCGCCGGTGCGTCATCCAGTGGTTTTTCAGCATCCGTGGGCGCTTCTTTGCTTGAGGGTCGTGTCCTGGGCAATGCGGGAACGGCTGAGGTGCGACATTGCCGTTTTCGACGGTATTATGATGGCTTCTCTTGGTTGTTCTCGAATGTAATATCCTAGACGCTTCGCGTAATCCCATCAGCCATCCAAAAACGATGCCCAGGCGAGTTGCGCTGATCAGGGATTTGGGACCTTGTGGGGCCTCTCCGGGACCGCTTGGGAGCCTCTTGGGGGCGTCTTCGGAGCCTCGTGGGGCTGCTTGGGCGCCTCTTGGGTCCCTCTTGAGGCCCTCTTGGGAGCCTTGTATGCCTTCCTGGGAACATCATGGAGGATATCGCCACCCCCCTCTGACGCCCCCAGCGTCGCCTCTTGGGGCCCTCTTGGGGCGTTCGTGGGCGCTCTTGGGGCCGTCTTGAGACAATCTTGGGTCTCTCTTTGGGCCCTCTGGTGCCATCTTGGAGCCATCTTAAGGCCTCGGGAGCCGATCGGAAGCGAAAAAGCGAGAGGACCACCATCGCTCAAAATTTCACAGGTGCCGGGCGGGTTTTGGCCTCTTGGAGGCCTCCTTTGGAGTCTCCGTGGCCACATGGAGCCATCTTTGGGCCATCATGAGGCCTTTGGGAGGTATGTATGAAGCCATCGTGGGCCAACTCGGACAACATTGCGGCATCTCGGAGGCCCTCCTCAAGAGTCTGGGACCACCTTGGAGGCCCCATTGCCAAAAGCATCCGAGGTATACCCCAGAAATGCAAACATCTTTCAACATCCTTGCGCTTTTCCAGTGATATTATTGATCAGAGAGGGGTGTACTTCACTGAGGGTCCCCGTTCTGGAGCTCCCACGGTCGCCCACTGGGGCCCTCTTGGGGCGCTCTTAGGCGGTCTCGGGGCCGTCTCGTGGCCGTCTTGGGCCCCTATTGGGGCCATCTTGGGCCCTCTTGGAGCCATCTTGAGGCCTCGGGAACCCACCGGAAGCGAAAGGGCGAGAGGGCCAACATCATTTACTTCCCATAGGATTTTGAATGCTTTTGGCCTCTTGGGGTCTCCTTGGGAGGCTCCGATGCCACATGGACCCGTCTTGGACTGGTCTAGGGCTTTATTGGAGCATGTGGAAGCCATCGTCAGCGATCTTGCATGATCTTGGGCCATCTTGGAGGTCATCTTGGGCTCTCGGAGGCCCTCCGGGAGCCATCTTGGGCCATCTCGGGCGCTCCGACGGCCCGCGGGGCGCCCCGTCCAGGTCCAGGTCCAGGGCGGCCTCCCGGTGCCGTCCCCCGCTTGCCTGCGGGGGCGGCTCGTGCTGCGTGCGCTGGCTCGGGACTCCCTGCGGGGGGTGATCTGCGCAGGTCCCTCGGCCGGGGCCGACGACCTGCGCGACGGGCCCGCCGCGGAGCCACCGCTCCAACGGGGGCCCAGGGCGCGCTCCCAGCCGGCGCCGCCGACGGGGCCGCGGGAAGCTTGGACGGCCGCGGCCCACGAGGTTCGCGCTGCAGGGAAGTCGGGGTCGCTCTGCAGCGCTGGCGCGGAGGCCCCCGCGAGGGGATTCTGCGCCGCGGCGCGCGCGCAGGGCCCTACTCACGCGCCGAGCAGTCGGCGATCCCCTGCGGGCGCTGCCGCTTTGGCGTCTGTCCGTCGGTGGCCTGCCAGGACGTTGAAGCTCCAGCCCGTCGTCGACCGTTTATAGGTCCGACGCTGCGCGAGCGACCAGGCGGTCCAGGCGGCCTCAGGGCCATCTCTCCCGCCGGCGAAGGCGCTGCGGCGCGCGCTGAGGCGCCCTTCTCTGGCGCGAGTCGCCCGTCTAGCCAGGACGTTGTCAGTCTCGCCGGGCGCGGTCGGCCCCCCCGCGCTCGCGCGGTTGCAGCCGAGGTGGCGCGGGCAACGCATCCCGACTGCGCGGTTGCGCCGAGGCGCGCGCGCGGCAGGTGCGCCCGAGCCGCCAAGCATCGCTCTGCCAGCCTCCCCGAGGCCGCTGTCAGCCGTCACGCTCGTGGAGTCCTGGCGCCAGGGCGCCAGCGGGCACGGCGAGCCCCGCCGACAGCGCTGGGTGCGACATGGCACCTGCGCATTTGCTCTCCGCGTAGGGCATTCGGCCCAAGCCTCGCGGAGTTTCTCACGCGAGAGGCCTCGACTTCGACTCTGGCTCCGACTCGGAGCCGCGCGTGCTCCCGGGCCCGCCGCGCTGCTCGGCGCCTCGTCGGCCGCTTCGAGGCGGCGCCCCTGGCTCGCAGCCAGGCGCGCCGTCGCACCCGCGGCCGTGCTCGGCCGAACCGCGGAGGACGGGAACGGGCGCGCGTCCGCGCACCTTCCGCGCGGCGCCGCCTTCAGCAGAACACCAGCGCCCGGGAGGGGGCGCCCTGCGCGGCCGACGTCGACCGCCCCGCGGGGCCGTCGCGCGCCCGGCCAGCGCGTCGGCACCGAGCATGCCGCCGCGGTCGATCCGCGCAGCGGCTCCACCTGGGCGCAGTGGCAGATCGGGCCACCTGGGGCGCCCACGACGAGCGCCCGAGCCAGGCGTGCGCTCCCCCGAGGAGTGCGGTGCAGGCGCGCCGACTTGCGCCTGCCTCCTCCTCCCTCCTCCTCCTCCTCCTCCTCCTCCTCCTCCTCCTCCTCCTCCTCCTGCTCCTCCTCCTCCTCCTCCTCCTCCTCCTCCTCCTCCTCCTCCTCCTGCTCCTCCTCCTCCCACTCCAGCGCTCTTGAGCGCGGGGCGGCCCGCTCAGGGTCGCGGGCCTCCCGGGGGGCCGCGCGGGGGGCAGCGCGGCCGGTTCCTGCGCCGCCCGCCGAGGCGGCCCGTCCTGGGCGCGAGTCGCCCGCCCAGCCGGGCGCGCGGCCGAGTCGGCCGCCTCCGCGCTCGCGCTGCTGCAGCCGGCAGCAGCTGCATCGAGAGCAAGGACCAGGGGATGCGATTCTGGACGCCCGAAACGGGCACGGAAAGAATGGGCACAATGCCCAACAGCGGATCCTGTTCATTTTGAACAGGACTCGCTGTCCACGCCGCCGCGGCCTGTGTCCATTCGAGACAGCAGGCCGCCTGCCCACCAGCGGCCGCTGTTGGTTTGGGACAACATTTGTGGTTGGGCATGGTACCCATTTTTTCCGTACCCATTTCGGGCGTCCAGAGCGATGCACAGAGACAACGGGGCCCGCGAGGCCGTCGAGACCCTCCGACGAGAGGGCCCGATCCACGTCTTGGCGGTGCTGTCTGCCGACGGGTCCCCGTCCGACGTGCCCGCCTCTGGCTGGGCGGGGCCCGCGCGCGCGCGCGGGGAGCGCCCCCCCCGTGCCCGCGGCCGCCGCCGACAGCAGCGGCCCTCGGGCTGTCGCCGCCGCGTCCTCCGTGGCCCCCGACGGCCCGACGACTGGCGCGCGGCTTCGCTGGGCTCGTGCTCGACCGTCAGCGCGGCTGAGCCCAGGTGGGTGGCGCGGAGAGTCAAGGACTCGCCATCCACGCCAAGAGGGGGGAGCAGGAACTCGGAGCTCCGCGCGGGCGTCGGTCGGACTCGGCGGTGCAGCAGT